AGGGGGGTGAAGGCTGAGTGAGACTGGTTCCCTTCACAGGTGTGGTGGCATCAGTAGGCACCTGGCTGTGGGACCCCCTGGTGTGTGGGTTGGAACCAAACCTAAGATGAGCCAGGGACATGGGATTTCATAAACCTATAATTGATCACAAATCATTTTGAAAATCAAGGCAAAGTTGTCAGCATCTTATTTTGCCACACCTGGACATTATTTTATCATCACTATTATTATAATCCTTAACCTTTCTGCATGGCTTGACAATCAACCGAGCCTCTTTGGCTGGGCTGGGCATTACTGTTAAAAAGCCTCTTACCTACGCTCCTCATTCTTTCTTTAAAAAGGGGGAGACGTGAAAACCCCACAAACCGCATTTGGCTGATGTGAACAATATCTTGTTGTCCTTACTTTGTTCACTTAGATCCAGACTGGAGAAGGCCCGTGGCCCCCTCGGCCTGCTCGGCCTCGCCTGGCCCAGCAGAGGCCCCTCAGCACCATGGAGAGGGCCCCGAGGCAGGGCCGGGAGGGAGGCGGGACACCCAGTCCCAGGAGATGCGGAGAAGTGGACTCTGGCCCCAGCTCAGGAACTTCTTCCCGAGGAGCAGAGTCATGCTCTGATGAAACAGGCGCCCTGTGCGGGCGGTGGTCATCTGCGTGAGAAGCTTCAGGGATGCTGAGGCCAACAGCATGAGATTTCTGCCTGGGGTGGACGCTTCCATTTGGAAAGGAAAGAAGTTTCAAAACATGCACTGCCCTCCGTGTGCAGTTCTGCCTGCCTGTGCGTAGTCTCCGGTCTCCTCACTACGGTGAGTCTGGGAAAAGCGAGACCCTTCACCTCAGGCTGCTCCCGACTTTCCCAGGTTCCTGGGGGACCCAGGAGCTGCTATATGGCTGGAATAGACCGGCCTTTTGGAGCTGAACTGGGTTGTTTTGGTCACAAATCGGAGAAGCCTCTGGGCTTCCTCAACTGCTCATGGGGGAGGAGGGTGGTCCCCTCCCTCAAACACTGGGGCTAGCGCTCAGCGGCAAAGCTCGGACTCCCTATCCCACCAGACCCAGTCAATGTCGAGGCCTGCAGTGGCCTCCAGAGTGACCTGGGACTCGGGAAACCGTGGTGCCAACCACGCACATGCATTCAGGATCGGCTACATCTTTTGCAGAATGAAAATGTGGGGCCCTTGTCAAAAAATGTTATTAATTTTAGGAAGGCGACCGTAGGACATGCAGCCAAGCAGCCCTGCGCCACTGCCCAGCCCAGGCCACACCCTGCAGCTGTGTGCGCTCGAGCCCTCCAAGCAGGGGTCCCGCGGGCTACAGGCAGCCATGCTGCTGGCTCTCCTCACACCAAGTGGCGTCAGACCAAAAAGCCAGGGTCTGCTGCAGGAGCTGTCGGGACAGAGGGAGCACCCACAGGTGTGCGCTTGTCCCAGGCTCCCCACTGAGTGCCTGTGCCAGCATGTCTACCCCTCTGGGCCTCCGTTCCCTCCTCCCCTGCTGTGAGGACCCCCACCCCGGGGGGATGGAATGGGAGCTGTCTAGAGCCTCTGAGATGGGCCCAGAGGCAGAGGCCCCATTGGCAGGCAGAGCAGAATTCTGAGGGACATTCTGGGAAGAAAATGATGTCCAGGGAGAGGGAGCTGGTCAGACCAGCAGGATGTGGATCCAAACCCCTAGTATATGATGAAAGGGTTTCGGGGGAAGGTGACCTCACTCTCTCACCTGTATGGCCCAGCTCACATGGCTGTGCCTAAATTGGGCTTAGAAAAGTAAAAGCTACAGCAGGAATTGACCCGGGAGTCTCTTTCCCCCAACTGTGGCAGAATCCGAGAGAAGAGGTAGGAGCCACAGTGTTTAGCGACTGTGTGAACAGATCGTTAAGCAAACGGGAGAGGAGGGGCCCTCCTCCTCCAGCAAACAGTGCCATACGGGCGCCTGGCGGGGCTGAGACCCAACAAGCCGGACAGGAGAGAGCCCTGCCCGAGAACACAGGCTCTGTCGGGGTCCTCGGATTCGTGCCCCAGCTTTCTTTCCTTCCACTGCTGTGGCTGTGGCCCGAACCTTGAGGGGGGTTTCAGGACAGAGACCAGTGCAGCAGAGAGAATGTGGACATGGTGTCACAACTGGGGTCCCAGTGCTGCTCCAGCAGTCCCTGGCAAGTGGCTCTGAGCAAAAGGCGAGGCCTCCACACGCCCCCATCACCTTTTCACTTGTACAGGTTGGGATTTAAATGTCTGTTGTCATGTGGTGGGTGTTGTCTGAGCCAGCCTGTGCTGGGGGTGCCCAGCCTCCCTCTCTCGCTGTCCTCACAGTCTCTCCGCTCCCATCTCGCTGTCTCGCTGTGTCTGCCTGTGGCTTCTGCTCCAGTCCCTGAGCCTGCCTCTCCCCTTGTCACTCCGGATAGTAGGTCACGTGAGGGGCATGGGACATCCATCAATCTTGCCAAGTCCTCACTTTGCTGGGCTTCAGCTTCCTACGTGTGGGGGTGACAACTTCACTGCCCTGCAGAAAGGCACACGCCTCAGGACACATGGCACAGGCGACAGGGAAGGTGGTCCCTAGGCAGAGGGCTAACTGGCTGCATGGCAGTGTCCAGAAGGCGGTGCTGCTGCCTCCGGGCTCTGGTGGGTGACCCAGCGCCGGGACACTGGCGGAAGAATGCAGCCCGAGCACATTTCTTGGGGCTTCGTGCATGTCCTGTCCCAGCACATTCGTCCAGGCCAGTTTGTCCCGAGCACAGGCCACTTCAGCCCTCCAGGAGTGACAGAGACCAGAGGCTCTCATCCTTGACCCAGGGGACTTGCTGCCACTGGAGGCTCAGGACAAGAGGCTCTCAGGTTCCTTTCATAGCCAGTGACAACTGTGAGAGAGAAGCAGGGTAGAGGTCCTCAGAGTCAGGAAGATCAGCCCGAGTGTCAGGAGAGGGGCCAGAGGGGTGACACTAGAGCTGGGTCCCAGAAGGTGGACTTGGGCTGTGGCACTGGGCTCGAGGCAGTTAAGGCAGTCACTTGAAGGCTGAGGACAGGGAGTATTCTTGAGGGTGTTTGGCTGGAGCTGGGCAGCTGTGCGGGGGCACAGTGAGGGCAGGTGCTAGAACTGTGCAGGCCCCGGATGCCAGGTAAAGATGACTTAGGGCTAAATGTCCTCTCTTAGCAGGAGCCAGGGCCTCTGTCCCCTGACATGTGGGGAGGTTGAGGGTGGCATGGTGGCTAACTATCCTTGGTCGCTTACAAATACCTACAGTCATTCTTATGCCCAGGCCGCATACTCACACACGCCCATACAGAGACATTTTGTCCGCCCGCCACGTGCAGGGATGTTGCTCACACATGTCCCCTGCCCCATGGCAGGGCACCTCCATTCCCTCCCCTTCACCCACCCATGGAAAGAAGGGCCTGTAGGGGAGGTGGTGCAAGGGTGGGGTTGAGGGACCATCAGGCCCAGGTCTCATATGCACAAAAGGACACAGATTAGACATTTGACTTTATTTCCAAGTAAAACTTTGATGCAGGCATAGAAACACACCATTGGGACTAGAAGATATCCATCACCCATCTTTATGATTGAGCAACATTGTCGTACCAGGAATTAGTATTTTCTATAACTCCAGTAATTAAACAATGATGTTCTATTGCATTTTTATGTTAAAGTTGTTCGTTGGCTCCATGTAAACATTTAGCACAAACCTTTATTCTTTTTTTTTTTTTAAATACGCTGAGCACTTCCACAGGTGGGAATGGCTGAGGTCTCTCTAGGCTTCCTGCAAACTCTGCCTGGCTAGCAGTCAGAGAGCCATGGGGCAGACTCCTCACCACTTCGAGACTCGGCATCACTCCATCCCCTTCTGGGTGCCTTGAGTGGGGGATGAAGTTCAGAGGAAACAGAAACGCTGTCCTCTCCTGGATCAGCGAGGGCAGACCAGGGCCAAGCCCAGGACAGGGCCTAGATCCCAAGGTCAGGAATGCAAGCAGAGCTGGCTGAGCCAATGAGGACCTGAGGTCTCCTGAGAGCCCTGTCTCCTAGGAGGCCCTGGGATGGAGCCACAGTGTGCTATGATGATGAGCTGCTTATGCTGAGCAAGTAACTGCAGAGATGCAGGTCAGAGAGCCCCCGGTCCCCACGGCAAACCATGTCTGCCCCTCCCAAGCCACCCCACAGTGTGAGTCCACAGGCAGCAGGTGGCCTCGTGTGAACTGCTGGGCATACAAGCACTGTGCCAGCAGGTCAAAGCAGCTAGGTCAATGCCCACTGTGGCCCCAGCATTGCTGTCCTGCACTCTCTCCACCCTGCAGGTGGTTTAGGGGGTAGCTTCTCAGTAACTCTGGGGTGATCTTACAAAGCTTTGGCCCCTGAATCGGCCCAGACTGATTCGTACTTGCCCTGGATGTAACAGGCAAACCGGTCACATAGGTGAGTACTGGCCAGTCTCAGCCCAGTGCCGGCACTCCCCACCTCCCAGCATCTAACTGACCTTCAGCTACCAGGGGACCTGCTAGACTGCGATGGGGCACTTGGGAAGGTCCTAGGCATTGGAGACAGACAGCGTTATGGAAACCTGTGAGATGGAGTCGGGCAACTGACCGGTGCTGCTTGACCTGTCGAGTTTGGGGTTCTACATATATAAATGAGGGTCATAACACCTGTCTCACTGGGTTCTGGGAATATGTGAAATGATTGGTGTAGAGCACTTTTCTTTCCCACACCCCCTGAGGTAATAGGAATGAGCCCCTTCCCCCTCAACTCCTTTCATTTTTATAAATCGCTACATGTCACCCACCCTTTGATACTCCTCTGGCTCAGCTTTGCTCAGAGTTCTGCCGGCTCAGGATTATTTTCTCTTGTCCCGTTTCATCATCTCCCTTCCCACCCCGGTAGCCCTCCAGCTGCCCTCTTCTCTCCAGATCCTTACTGCCCAGAGGACGTGACAGGCCCCTTTCCTTCTCCAGGCTGGCATACAGACGGGCTTGGTCCCCACCGCAGGGCCTCTCATTACAGCCCCCGCCTCCCCAGCCCCGGGTGGCACTACCTGCACCCACACTCTGCCACGCTCATCCCTTCGTAGTGGTACTTGAGGGTGGGGACCCCCATGTCGTCCTTGTAGAGGATTGAGATGGGGCTCAGTTTGGTGGGCACACAGCAGGCCTTGCCCACCTTCATGGGGAACTTGAGATGCACCAGAGTCTGAACGATGGCGTGTTTCGTGGGCGTCACGTCGTCAGCCAGTGGGAAGAAGCAGCCCCCTTTGCACTCATAGGCATCGTACTCCTTGGGCGCAATGATCCAGCTGTCCCAGCCGATGTCCTCGAAGTTCACTCGCAGGGAGGTCTTCTGACAGTGGTTGCTGGCCCCGGCGCTCCTCTTCCGCCTGGCTAAGGGTGACCCCACGGCCACGTGGCCTTCCGTGTACCCTTCGCCCTTGTTCTCACCAGCCCCCGCTGGGCCACTGCTGGGCAACTTCTTGAGCACACTCTCCTGCTCGTGGCCGATCATCTCCCTGAGCTCCAGCCGGGTCTCCTTGGTCCCATTGCTACGGTCATTGGAGAAGACAACGAAGAAGGGCAGGTTTTTGGAGCCTGGGGGGACACTGATATCCAGCTTGTCACACCCTTTTCTGTGACTCTCCACGGTCACTTCCAGTTTGTTTTTGCTCTTGGTGGAGTCTGCCCTGACCCACCTTTTTACAGCACTGGAGACCTCAAAGGTCTCCCAGCCCTCGTCCCGGATGTCTTGGGACACCAGGAAGGTCTTGGCTCCTGCAGAAGCATCCCACATGTCTGCTCCATCCAGAACATCATAAATGACCATGTTTCCTTGCAGCTCATGAGAGGGGTCCTCGTGGCTTTGGCAGGAGATATAGAGTCGAAGCTCTGCCCTGGTGATCTGCTCATGCCTAGGAATGGAGATGTTGAAAAGCAAGATGTGTTTCTGGAAGGGGAAGTCTTCTGTGGCAGACATGGAGACGGCATCTGAAATGCAGACACACAGTGGTGGGCATCATGGCAACAAAGTTGAGACTCACGGCTTGGATGAAAGGGCATCTGGGTAGCACTGTCAGATCTCTATTTGGTTTCACTTAAGCCTTTGCTCTAGAAGAGTTTTTTGAAAGGTACATTTAGGATCTTGCAAAGAAAAGCAGATGCAGGAGATGGCTGGCATTGGAGTGAAGGGGTCCAGGTGTTTATTGAGCATTACTAGGTGCCCAGCACTGCACTAGGGACTTTGCACACATATTTCACTGCACTCTTCACCTTGACCCTGTGAGGATCTAATTATTATTTCACTTTTACAGAAGTGGAGACTGGGTTTAAGGTGTTTAGCTTCCAAAGTGCATGCATTCTGCAAAGACCTTCACTTTTAAAAAAGAACCAAATAGAAGAGCAATAAAACTATCATCTCCTGAGTGCTGATCCTGAGTGTACGATTGTAAAGGAGAAATCCTGGGAGGGAAGGTCAAATTCTCAAATTCTAACATTAAGGCGATATTAAAATCTCAGCATCTAAATGATGTAAAAATCATTTGTAATCGTAACTTCAGAGTGAAAGTAGATGATTTTTTTAAAGTTTGAGGGGAAAAAAATTTAGCTTCAACTGCTTTGTTATATGTCAGGCAAAAATGGGACTTGCCTTTGGCCACACTGTTGTCTTGGTGCCACTTCTGGCTGGCATGTGGCCATCATCTTGTCTGCATTAGACCATGGCTCAGTCACAAAAGGGAAGAGAAGTTGCGTTTGTGAGCACTTACTATGCCAACTGAAGGGAGACTGTGTGCTGTCATGAAAACCAGCAAGTTTTGGTGTCCGACAGACTAAAGTGCCAATCCTGACTCTGCCCCTTCCTAGGCTTATGGCCTTGGAGAAGTCCTGAGTCTCTCTAGGCCTCAGTTTCCTCAACTATAGAATGGGGTGCATCTTTTCTGCCTCCCCGGGTTGATGTGAGGCTTTAGCAGGATGGAGCAGTAACTTCCCCAGCACTGTCCTGGCTCATGCTCGATGCCCAGTCTATTCTTCTGTGCCCTCCCCAGACCTTCCACCCACCGGTACATGCCCTGCCCCCACAGCGCCTGGCCTGTCCCAGTTCCCTGCAGTCGCCTCCCAGCTATTCCAGCTCCTACAGAGTGCGTTGACACTGGCATCTCTGAGTAATGGGGTGTCTGTGAGCAGTGCGCTAGTGACCTACTGTGCTCCACTGTGGCTGTGGAGGCCTTAGTGGCTTGTGGCGCTGCATCAGACATCTAGGAGCAAACGCCCCCCTCCCTGCGCCTCCCTCCTGTCTGTGGGGTCTGCGAAGGGGAGCACACTTGGCCCCCACAAGAGTGCTGTCCACAGGCAGAGCTGGGGTCCGATCAGAGCACTTGTTTCCAGGACCTGGACAATGCTGGAGCACTGAGGCAGCGTGAGTAAGGCCTGCGAGGTTACAGGGCTCCAGCCCAGTCACCAGCGAGGCCCTGTGCCTTGGGCTGTTCAGAGGAAGAATGCAGCAGCTGGAGAGCCCGGAGCTCTGCAGACAGGCGGGCCTGGGTCGGAATCCAGCTGCCTAACGATTAGGCCCTGGGCAAGTCCCCCCAGCACCTGCTAGCTGGCTTCCCGCTCTCCGAATCATTTCCCCTACTGTGTGTTAGTGAGCGCAAGCCCTAAGTCTGCCTTTCTCATTGTCTGGTCCCCCTACCTCAGGAAATTACTTTATATTTAGAAAAGAATTAAGTAGTTCTCCAATGTTTATCTCTCAGAAGAATTTATCTGAATCTCTGACAACTTTTCATGAGAGAGACAAGAGAGATGTTCAGTTTAAATATATACCAGTGGTTCAAGGCCAAATGAGTAGCCTGTTTCTGAGTGGAAAGGGGGCATTAAGGAAAGGGGGAGGAAAAGGAGGGATGGAACGAAGGGATCCTACGTTCCCGCAGCTCCCGCTGAGCTAAAGGTGGCTCTGGGCTCAGAGAGGGAGAATCTCCTAGAGCGCAGCTGCCTGGGGGAGCTTTCTGCCACGATGGAGACACTCTGTTAGCTGCAGAGCCCTGTGGGCAGCCTTAGCCACACAGGACTGCAGGCAGTTGAATCAAAGCTAGTGAAACTAAAGAACTCAGTTACTCATTTTATTTTATCTTAATTAATTTAAATTGAAACTTAAAGAGCCTCATGTGGGCAGCAGCCCCCATACTGGGCAGTGAAGCTGTGGACCAGAGTCCCCCCAACTCCCAACCCTCAGGGGCCCTGGCAGAGCCGATTCTACCTTCCACGCTGAAGCTGCGCACGATGTTGGATGCAGGGGTGGACGACTTGTCGGTGGTGTATCTGTTGTACAGGTCGATCATGTACTGCGGCGGCTCTGCTCGGGTTTTGTCCTGGGAGGGGACGCCGCTCAGGTTGAGGCTGCGCAGGAAATCCACCTTCATGTTCTCCAGGAACATCCTCAGGTCGAAGGTGCCTCCCTCCTGCTCACCTCCGGCCATCCCTAGCAGCTGGTGTGTATCTCCCCTGTCTGATGCCCGGACCCGGCTCTCCAGAGGCTTCCCCTGCCCAGAGCAGGCCAGCAAGTAGAGCACAGGCAGGGCCACCAACAGTACCCTGTGGCACATCTTGGGACAGCACAGTGCCCCTGGACAGGAGACTACTGGTGGCCACCTTGTGTTAGTGGGTGTGGGGAGGAGCCTGGGAGGCACAGGCCAGCATTGTCCTGCTGAACACTCTGCACCAAGCCCCCTGGCCAGTTCCCAGGCTCTCACCCGCCGTCCCGGAGTGTCCTCCACTTGTTCTTATCTGGTCCTCAGTGCCTCTCCAACCTCTTATCTAAGGGAGTGTTAGGTTAATGAAGACTCTATAAACATCTGACAAACACACAGGCTGTGGGAAGAGCACAGTCTGCTGCAAAGAACCCGAGTTCCCTGTGGGGTTATCGCCCCTAATTAGGATCTTTGCTCATTTCCTTTCCAGTTCTGTTCAGAAGAATCTCAAGACAGGGTGACATATGCTCTATCTCTTGGGCCACAGAACAAGGGATCCAGGAAACAAATAAGACCAAAAAGTCCTCCAAATATAGAAGCAACATGAAGCCCTCAGAAGTCCCTGCAAACTCCCTGAGTGGGTGGTGGGGTGGGGCCGTGGCAGGTTAGTGAGAGGCCTGCTCCCTGTGATGTCAGAACCTTAGGTGCAGCTTGAGCTCTCCACGCCCGAGCATTAGAAACCACGAGGATGCGGCACACGATTCAGTGAGGCGGTGAAGACTTCGGAGTCTGATGAGAGAAGGGTTCCGATCCAGCCCCCTCCCTCACTCCCAGAGGGATCTGGAGTAAGTCACTCCGCGTTTCCAGGGTCGGATTCCAAGGAGAGTGTGTAGGTGTAGGTACACACGTGCTGGAATTCACGGCCGTCTCTGTATCCTAGTCGGTTTGGGGGCTGCTTTTAGTCTGTCACTTCTCTGTCCAGGTCTGACTGAGGGGGGAGCGAGGAGGAAGCCCTGCTCTCCAGGGATACCGCACACACACCCAGGCCGGCCGCCAAGGACCCCCAAAGTGCTCTGTCACTGGCCTTGTGTGTGGGGTCTTTGCTCATGTCAGAGGGAAGGCTGCCTGGACCACATTCCTGTCAGGAGAATCATGCAGTCTGGGGAGACAAGGCAGGGGAGTGGAGCTCTGAGGCTGGTACATACCCAGAGGTGGACCCCTGGCCTAAGGAAGCTAGCAAACCACAGCCCAACAGCGTCTTGCCAAGCCCCAAGGTCTTTGCTATTTTAAGAACATCATGCCCACACTTAAGCTTTGTCCATCTCCATCAGGTGTGGGTTTGAACAAGGCAAAGACTGAGCCTTGTTTAAAATGCTCTGGGGGTCTACTCTGACGAAGATTTGCACATGAAGTTTCTATGCTGGTGGTGCTGCTGGGGAGGGCGGCAATGAGCTCAGCGTTTTCCTGGAGACGCAGGAGGGGCCTCAGCAGGTTGGGGTCAGAGATCTCAGTGTGCACCCAGCTTTTCTCCCACCCCTGATGGGGGCAGGGCAAAACCAGGAGTCCCCTAGTGGCCAGACCTGGACAGAGCTTACTGTCCCTATCCTTCGGGACACTGCCAGGGGAGGATGCATGAGAAGGGTGTGGCCTCAGAAGTGCTGCTTGGAATGGGGGCAGGAAGCATCCTGGGTGTTGGGCCAGCTCAAGGCAAGAACTCCTGCACTGGCACAGGGGCAGGGGGCAGGGGAAGTGCAGTGGGCTGGGAGGAGCTGCAGGCAAGACCCCCACACCACCCTTCAGTCTCTGGAGGCGGCCCAGGAATCTGTCAAGCTGGAGGAGGAGCCAGGGCTGCAGGGGGGTAGCCCAAATGTGCTCAGGGGAGCTCAAGGGGCTGTTGCCTGAAGTTTTTTTTTTGTTGTTGTTTTTTAAATGACAGATTTTCTTTCCTGATTATAACAATAATATATAGTGCAGATAATAGGGAAATGCAAGACACTCTGAAGAATGAAATAAAAATAAACTACAATCTTATCACCCAGTGGTGCCCACCGCTAGCTAACACTGAGATATGTACAGCTCCAGTCTCCCATTTAAAACCCCTGTGGCCAGGAGTGTTTTCAAATTCAGAAAGCTTCTGATTTGGGGGATTCAGTGTGGCATATATACTGTGACTCTCCAGCAGGGTTGGGGAAGCAACATTAATATTCCTGCAGTGAAACAAATAAAAACACACGTATCTTTCAGGTCAGGTTTTGCCATGAAAGGAGTTAAAAGAAACTTCAGGTTTTCTGGTAGTTTGGGGTGTGGGGACCTCAGATAAAGGATGGCAGACTTGTTCACCTGTGGAGTCACCAGATCTGCTCGTGGAGGCTCCATGGGAACAAGGCTGAGTCGCTGGTCTGTGATGTGGATGGTTCCCCAGAACTGTGCAATGCAACATGCGTGCGGATTTCTGGAATTACCTGCCCCACAAACTCAGGGTATCAATATGTCCACATCTCTTATACTGTTTTTAAATAAATGTGTGCAGCCTTCTATTATCTAGAAGTCTAGGTTTCTTCCTCCCAGGGCATCTCCTTCCTAAATTGGTCAAGTGCACTGTAGGTTTATTTAGTCCAAAGGAGATGGAGGTGGGATGGTACCAGTCCAGCTTCTTCATGCTGGAATGCAGCAGGAAGAGAGGGGCTCTAGCAGGTGCCACCTGCTATTGCTTCTCAGTGACACCTGGCTTTGCTGCTGGGGATTGTTCCAACACATCTAACAGCTGTTTGTGCACAGTCACTGGGATGCCGTGGGCAGTCCAAGTTACTGCCCAGGTCTCTGTGATGTCCTCCTTGTGCACCAGCGTCACAGCTTTCTTAGGCACACTCCCATTCTCCAGAAGGCACATCCTTGTGGTCACACTCTGACCCCATTCTGCCTTCTCTCACAAAACTCTAGGTTCTGTATGGGGAGCTTGGGTCACTAGCTCAGATTCCCACTTTCCTCGTTAAGAAATCATTATCTATTAAGATAATGATTTCAGAGACCTTGTTACCTTTCTCTACAGATGGTCCATCTGGACAGATCCCCTTACCCTGGCTCTTAGTGAAGGTTTGGGTCTTGTTCTGTGTCTCCCAGAAAATGGGGGGTCCTCATACAAAGGACCAAGCCCTCCCTGCCTGCAGCGTTCCATTTCTGGGGCCTCATGGAGGGGCTGCTTTCACTGAGCTATCAAATATCTTATTCTTGTCTCCTCTTCTCCCCCAAATTGTGTACCATATGACTAAGCAATTCCATTTCTATGTACGTTCCCAAAGAATTGAAAGCAGGGTCTTGAAAAGATATTTGTACACCCACACTCATAGCAGAATTATTTACAGTAGCCGAAAGGGTAGAAACAACCCTAGTGTCCACAGATGTGTGAGTGTGTAAACAAAATTTGGTACATATACATACACACATACACATAATGGAATATAATTCAGCATTAAAAAAGGAATTCTGGCATATGCCACAACCTTGAAGACATGCTAAATGAAATAAGCCAGTCACAAAAGGACAAATATTGTATAATTTCACTTATATGAGATACCTGGAATAGTCAAATGCATAGAATAGTGGTTACCAGAGGTTTAGGGGAAGGCAGAATGGGGAGTTATTGATTAATGGGCACAGAGTTCTAGTTTTGCAAGGTGAAAGAGTTCTGGAGACAGATGGTGGTGATGTTTACACAGCAATGTGAATGTACTAAATATACTACTGAACTGCACACTTAAAAATGGTGAATTTTATGTTATGTGTATTTTGACACAATTTATAAAAATGAAAGTGTCCCATATAGAGTTCCTTCTGTTGCAGGTTGCAGGAAAGAAAAATGCAAACAGGCTTAAGGAAAATGGATATGGCTAACTAACGACAGCTGACAAGTTCAGCAAAGGTTTGGCTTTGGCACAGCCTGATCCAGGATACAGGCAAAGTTCTAGTGATATTTTCCCACTCTCAGAACTGCCTTCCACAGTGTGGTCTTCGCGCTCCATCTGTGTCTTGGAAAGAAGGCTGCAGCAGGTCTGAGACCAGCCGGGAGGAGCAGAAGCCTCCTCTCCAAGAAGCCTCAGGCAGTCTCATGGCGTCTCCTTGTTCCTCATGGGTCATCTGCCTACGCCCTAGCCCATCACTGTGGCCAGGGGCATGCAATGCCTTGATTGGCTTAGGTGGGGGTGATGTCACTGACAGCAACCAAAGAGTCACATTGGGATGAGTCCTCAGAGGGGCTTAGATGGTCACCAGGGGGAGATTATACAAGTATCTCCATATGCCATGAAAAATGTTTCATATACTTCATTTTTAGTGACTTAATATCCAGCCGTATGAATATATCTTAACGTATTCAACATTTGCCAATTATAGGGAATTAGTTTATCTGTTAAGATAATGCTGCAATGCACATTGTTATAGTCTATATTTTATATTATTTTCTTAAGACAGTTCATCAGAAGTGGAATGTGTACATCAAAGTATATTGGTAAACACTGCAAAGCTAGTGTCCTGAAATGCACTTTTAATATTCTCTCCTATTAGAACAGCCCAGAGCACCTGTCTTACCACCCCTCACCAGTAGTTCTTTCTAGCCTTTAGTCATTTGATAAAAAATATGTTACTTTGCAGGGCTAGCTGAGCTGGACTAATCTTTCCCCACATTTGGATGAGCCACACCAGTGTGTGGACTTCGGCCTTTTCGGAAGGTACAGCAGTAGCAACCTCTCACCCCGGCTGGCCAGGGCTGTGCTCAGGAACTGTATTTGGTGGTGCGCTTGCTGTGTGTCCAGGGAGGGCACCAGAGATCCAGATGTCTGGGGTTCCCCGGGAGCACAGAGCCGGGCACATGGTAAGCACTCTCGATTGCTCTGGTCAGTGAGAAGTCAGATGTTCAGTCACTTCTTCTGTCGCCCTGGGGCAGCTCTGTCCTTCCCTCTGCAGAGCCATGCTTCGGCTGCGCCCACAGTTAGGGATGTCTCATGCTCTCTTCCCCATTGTCTTCCACCTGGGCCAATCCCCACTGCCTTTCGGCTTCTGCTCAGGACTCCCCTTCACCACACAGCCTGTGTGTTCTGAGCGCTGGCACTTGTTGGGCTTTGTAGCAGGTGATCACTACAAAGGGCCCTAGGACTGCTGTCTGCTGTTGGCTTGAGTTGGAACATCCTTCTTGCAATTTGGTTTGCCCATTGAGATGGCCTGCATTTATAGTGAAGCTGAGGCTCCTTCCAGGCAGACCTCCATGCTCATCTCTGTATATGCCCTTCAACACCTCAGGGCGCTCTACTGGGTGTGTTGGTCAGGCTGAGTATAGTAGCTGCCAGCTCAGCCTTGCCCGTCTATACTTGATGCCCAGATAGTAAGCATTACTGTGCTGTGGTGATTTTTAACCAAAGCCTCTGTAACATCATCTCTCCCAGGACTTGTGAGTCATCACATGCAATTGCTCTGAGAAGTATAATTTAATGAGTAAGAGAGACAGACTGAAGGCATCCATTTATTTCAAGGATTGCTGAAGCTCGTCCCTCCAGCAGACATTGAGCTCAGCCTTCATTTATGGAGGTGGGACACATCTGCCTGAAGTTCTCTGATACAGCCCCCTCCAGGAGTTGGGAACTCCTTCCGTCCTAGGGGGGCCTGACTATGAGAACACCACCAGTCCCTCTCTGAGTTTCTAAAGCTCCACAGTCACCTACACGTTGCTCAGAGGAATAAGGATTGGACCCACCTAGAAGCTGTAAGGAGAAAGCACAAGCCAGGCAGAGCAGGGGGTGGCTCGCTACCCAGCTTCTAGCTTGGCCTCCTTGAGATCTTCCTTGGATTGGCACAAGGTAAGTTTTCAGCCAGTGCAAACTCCATGTCTCAGGACTGTGCCCAGGTGGTTAGCACATTTATTAGAACAGTGGTTCTTAAAGTGTGGCCCCTGGACCGCCAGCAGCAGCATGTGGAAACTGGTGAGAAATGCAAGTCTTGGCCTGAGTCAGAAACTCTAGGGACAAGGCCCAGCAACCCAGCCAAGCCCTCCAGGTGATTCTGATGTATGTTCAAGTCTGTGCATCGGTTTTGCTAGAAGAGGAAATCCATATAAGCCTGCCAAGAGATAAAGTATGTAGATATTGCCTAGCATGGTTTTTGGCATTTAGCAGGTGCTAAAGAATTGAATAAATAACCAAGTCCATTCCTCTGCTCACCCACCCCACTCATACAACCAGCACTGCTGGGAGAGACTGGAGGAATCTGGGATTGAATTAGACCTGAGAAAGAAAAGTGGACCAAAGCTTGAACAAGCATCATCTCAGGAAGAAGAGAGAAGGGGAGTGGAAATCTCAGAAGTATCCATTTTTCAGGGAAGGATTTTATGTTTCCAGCTTTGGAAAAAGGAAATAGCCTTGAACTTCAATGTTTTGGTGCACAATTTATATTCAGAGCTGGCTCTGCCCTTCTGGTCTTCCCACCAAAACTCCCTCAGCTCTCCTTGGCATGGGTGCGATCAAATGCATTTTGCTCAAGTGGTACATGTAATGTCTTTATGCCACAGAGAAGTCCAGCTCTTCCATCCTGGTGGAGCTCTCTCCATTCCTCTTCCTGGGGAGTCCCTTCCTCACATCCTCCCACCCTACCCCAGACTTCTGTCGACTCTTCCAGCATGGCCCTGTCTCCGTCCTGGACACAGAAGCATTCGTGATAGGTGACAGCTCTGATGACATTTTATGAATGAATTAGACATACAGAGGCACCTATTGGGATACCTCAGGCAAGGCACCTGGTAGTATCTGGACTCAGTTTCCCCAATTGTTCTGTAAAATGTATCAGTTTTTCAAAGTTTTCTCCTAGCCTTAAATGTTGTAGCTCTCAGCTGTACATTTGTATTTGTCACATGGACTAATCTGTAAGGCCCCACCCTTTCGGAGGATGTGTCAGTTCAGCAATAGGGCCTGGTGGCACGCTGCTCTCTCCAGACTAACACGGGGCCAGTTGAGAGACCTCAGGAACCCATGCACACAACTGGAACCTCTTACTCTTGTGACAGTGTGATGTTGATATTTTGGTTTTAAGGGAGAAAAAAGTTGTTTCATACACACATTTCTTTTTAGACCTTGTTTTACTGCAAGGTCATTTGGTGCCATTGGGACAACCTTAATAGGCTGGCAGTGAGGTCACTGGCTGGGAGGTCTTGAATCAAGCAGCCTTGGGTGTCAAAGTTCACACTGCTCTGGTCTTGGTAAGACATGGGTGGCTGTTCTACTTACCCATCTTGAGCCTATGTTTCTGAGGCACCAGTTGGGTAGTAAGGTTTCTGTGAGGCTTAACGAGATGCCGGGTGCTCTATAAATATGAGGGGTCACTGATGACACCAGTCCTTCCTCCACACTACAGTTATCCCCAGTGAGTTCTATCTATCCCTCTGCTCAGGGCTGGGCCCAGGGTGGCCCTCCCAGCCTGCTCCCTCCACCCCACTAACCCAGAAATGAAACAGAGGAGTTCTAGGTTTTTAGGGTGACTCAAAAGATCTTCCAGAAACTGCAAATGACCGAAAGAATAAGATAGAACATTATAGGGCACCCCATTTCCACCAAGGAATGGAAAAAGAGCAATTTGATGAGAGAAAGTTAAAGGGAAGAGAGAAAATAAGAAATCTGACATTGTGAAGAAAAGGCATTTGGAGCCTTATCAAGCCCCAGTATTTTGTACTTATTCTAATATTAACTTGTATCTTGTCACCTTCTAAAAAGGGTTAGAGATGGCAAACCAAGCGCTACGTTAGCAGACCCACCTGAGACGTCCCAGCAGTTCACAGCAACTTAAATGAATGAGTTAGTCCCAGAACAGTACCTGCAGGAGTAAGGACAACTCCCCTCACTGCACCTGATCTGTCAAGGGATAGGGCCATGTGCCCAGGGCAGCTGTTCACACCTGTCACAAGGCCATCTGGAGCATCTCAAAGGAGATGCTGAGCAGAGACTGCTGGGCTCTGCCCAGGTGCCCTCAGGACTCCCTGCCTACCTGTTCTGGGCACCCCCTCTTGTCAGCGGCCTTGTGTCCAGTGGCTGCCACTGCAGCCTTCTTCAAAGGCTGCCTGTGCAGAGTCAGGGACCTGCAAGTTTCTGTTCCTCTCTGCCCCCTACCCCCTACCCCCGCTGAGGCAGCCTGGGGAGGGTCTGACCACCCAGCTCCCTTGTCAGGGCCTGGCCAACCCTATGGTGTAATTAAGCTCCAGAGGTCCCTAGAGGAGCCAGGTGAGGCTGGGACGTTTGGCTTCTTACCCTCCAGCCCTGCTCTCCCCATTCTGCACCTGTTTCTCCTGGGAGGCCTTCTCATACATCCTTGTGTAGGAGCCCAACCTAAGAAAGACAGCTTGGGCTTCTTTCCTCTAAGGCCCCTGATGGACAACTGCTCCTGGCTTCTCAGTGTCCTCCAAATAAGGCTGGGGCTTGTTTTCTTCTCAGGTCCCAGCCAAATGACAGTCAGACGCCCAGATGCTCCTTTCAAAACGCCAGTCAGCCTCAGGCACTACAGCTGTAAACCGATGCCCATTTAGGGCTAAGGGAGCCACTGGGAGGAGGCTATTTTAGGATGGGTTGCTGATGAGGAAACAGGGTGGGCCTTCTACGAACATGCACAGAGAGCAGCATTCCGGTCCCTGGGGAGCTCGTGCACCGCAGGAGGGACTCGTGACTGTTCAGGCTGAGTCTCCTGCTTGAACTACCCCAAGTGAAAGGTCTGCGACCAGGCCACCGCAGGCGTTCCTGTTGATGCCGCAGAGCCTCCCAGTCATTGAGTGTAAGGACGCTCCCTGAGGCTGCTGTGCTGCCCAGGCTACTCCTGCCTGGACAGGAGGGTGGGCAGCACTGGGGGGCAGGGCAAACTCTGGTTTCCAGAGTTTGGGGCAAAGACAGCCTAGGGGGCCTCAGTTGATCCTAAAGGAGGCTGTGTCCCCAGCAGCCACCCAGATGGCATGCTCCCCGGTGGGATCCGTCAGTATTTTGGAATGGGTAACATTCAGTTTTAAAGATACCACTGTGCCTTTAATTTATTAGCTTTCCATAAAACACATTACATACATAATCTACAGCACTGAAAGTATAATTTATAAAAATATAAAAATCTTGATTTTTTAGTATTCCAAGATATTACTGCGTGTTATTTCAGTAGGCACATTCAAACGATGCACACTTACCCAGCACAGTTACCTCTGGGGGGAGTAGTTATGACTCCCTTTCTTGTTTTAAAATAAAATATATATTAAGAAAAAGAACCCAAATTGGTTATATGTGCATATTGTACGTATAAAAGCCATTGCAGTGGAGTTTGAAGGAAAACATCCATTTTTACCATTACTTACGGCCTGCTTTCCAGCATTAATATGGGGCCCAAAGGGTCTTAAAGTGATTGCTTAAATGAGGCTATTTCCACTGAAAGGAGCGAGTGTCCCCAGGTGTGCAGTCTTCTTTGAAGGCCATGAGACGATGACAACAGCCAACAGTGTGGGATGTTCGGTTTGCAGGCCTTCAAAGCAGAGGGGTGAGTGGTGGGCAGCCTTCAGGCTGGGCTGATTCCCAGGTTCCTTCAGGGGATTGAGTCTGGCATTTTAGGGGCTCAGTCACTGGCAATAAAAACCCCAGAACGATGCCCTGGGGGACAGATCCTCCTGGGACGCCACGAGGCTGCCTGTGAGCTGTCCTGCCTTGCAGCTGCACCCTTAGTCAAGCTCTCACTCCAAGGCTCCAAGGACGCTGCCCGGTGGGGCACGGGGTGGAGGTTTCCTTCCACCCTGGAGCAGCTGGTCTTACCGGCAGGCACAGGTCTCCACAGACATGTTGGGGTACACCTTCAGAACCACATTCCGGTTCTCATCCAGGAAGAGGACCCCAAGGGGGTTCATCTTGTCGGGAACACAACAGGGCTCCGGGATGCCTGGGACGATGCCTACCGCCCTGACGATGCTTTGGATGGTGGCGTGATTCGAGGGGCGGACGAGCTGCCGGGTGGGAAAGGAGCATTGTTACCTCAGCGCTCAGCCCTCACCCACCCACTGTGCCATCTGCATGTCCTTGACTCAGCCCTTGGAAAAGGCATCGACCTAGAAGAGGAGGTAAGATTCCCAGACTGGTACCCCTTTCCTCTGAAGTCAGCCACAGACTGAGTCCCTGGGAGGTTCCTCAGAGCCTCAGGCTTCCTGCCCCTCTGACCTCTCAGAGAGAAGTCACATCGCCTACATGGCACTGGCCACTTAGGGGCACCTGCTCATCACGTATCCCTGAGAAGCACCTGGAACTGGCAGGAGCGTGTAGAGGGAAGGCCTAAGGACATGTCTTGCTGATGGGCCTGGGGCCCCAGCTGCCTGGGTTTCACAGTCCCAGGAGGACAGATGTGCTTCCACGTGAGGGTGCTCTCAGCCTTGGAGGGGAGGCCTGCACACGTGTGTGCACGAGCAAGATGGGCTGGGCACTGGCATTTCCTGGGAAGGTCTGACTGCTGTGTCAGGCACTGCTTCACCCGCGTCACCCCATTTGTCATCGTATCAGTCTTATGGGGTGGGTATTACCTAAATTTTACTGGTGAAGAAACTGACGCGTAAAATGACTAGAAACTTGATTGAGACCCCTTAGATAGCACAGCCAGGCTTGGAAACCAGCTCCTTGGGCCCACACTGGCTCTCTCCTCCCCCAGGCAGCCTCTCGCACCCAGAAGGCTCTGGGTCACAGCAAACACAGAGAATGCTTCTCCTCCAGCACCTCTGACAGGTGAGCAGGCTCCAGCTCGCTGCTGACGGGAATTTTATGTCTACTCTGTTGAAGAGAAAGCCCCCGTGTGAGCGTCAGGGAGTGGGGGGAGGCAGGGACATCTGATTTGTGGGATTCAGGCAGGTGTCAGGGAAGGTGACAATGCAACCAGCCAGGATGAGGAGGGAAGTGCAGGTCGGCCAGCTGGAGCCTGCTGAGTCCTGAATCTGCTGGACCTTCCCAGCAGACGCCTGTCTCTGCAGGGCACCTCCCTTCCTTTCTCTTGCCCAAGCACAGCTTTGAGGAGAAGCCTCTTAATTCCCAAGCAGGGGAATGCTGCCCACAACTGGGTCTGGGATTTCCCATCTGGCTGATTTATTGAGGTTCAAATTGGATTTATGCACTGACTTCCTGTCTTGGAAGGGAAGGCATGACCCGGAACCCAGCAGTGGAGCTAAGCAAGAGGCAAGTGCGCTCTGTGTACCGAAGATCGACGTGAGCTGGCAGCCAGCCATCAGAGCTCAGGATGCGGACACGGACAGACAGAGCCACAGCCCACTTCGGAGGGAAAGTGAGGTGCAAACATTTCCAGCACAACGGGTAAAACAGCCCCATGCTGTGTGTTCTGCAGGCTCCTGCACCATGAGGGCTAGCTGTCCTGTGGGTCCCTGCTCTGAGTGAGAAGAAGGGAGGCGGGAGTCCCGAGAAGCCAATGAAACCAACTCTGTGTTGGTCACAGACACCAATGCTGAGGTCTAGGCCAGAAACAAAGAAGAGAGCCTGCGAGGAGGGTGCTTTGAAGACTTGTCTTGTCTACAGGGGGCAGCATCTACTCAATCTCTGCAGATTGTTACTTTGTGGGAATACACACCTAAGGAGAGGCATTATCCCCTTTGCAAAAGCAGAAATGTTCTGATTTAAAATTTAAATTCAATCAAGTCATCATGTTCAAAAACACAGCCCAACCATATCCATCTGTGAGCTATACCCACACAATAGGCAGCCACACTGGGGCCTCTGTCTACCCACTTATTCCAGGCCTCCAACAGGAGGTGTTCCTATCCCTATGTGACAGACAGGAAACAGGTCACAAGGCAGAGGAACTTGGTAGTAGGGATAGAGCTGAGAATCACAGTTAAATAATGGGCAGAACACGCCCTACCTTGGGCATGGGGAACTCGCAGGCTCCCGCGCAGTAGTAGGCGTCAAAGGATTTGGGTGAGATGATCCATTCGTTCCACCCAATGTCCGCGAAGTCCACCTTCAGATACCTCCGGGAGCAGACCCTTGGCTCATCCCACTGCTTCCTCCGGGCTTTCTGCATCGTCTTTTCATCGAAGTGCAGCACCTGCGACGAGGCCATGAACACATCCTGGCCCTTTCTCCTGCGGTCCTTGCGCCCTGGCCGGGGCTTCAGTGTCCGGAAGGGGCTGGGCCACAGTTCGTGCTTGTGGTAGTGCTGGGCGTGGGAGGCCTGTGCTGGCTGCTCGTCCAGCCCTGGCAGCTCGTTGTCCTGGAGGGGCCCCGTGGCCTGTGTGGCCCGCCTAACTCGGGGATCCGTGGAGCTGTTGGGGGCTGCGCCAGGCTCCAGGTCTCCAGCTGGGAAGGGGTCATATCTCTGCAGTGTCACTGCCACACTGTTGGGCTCCGAGATGGCCAGGTCATTGGCATAGATGAGAATGTAGGGTGCATGGGGGTTGGGCCTGGGCACCCCGGGGTCCTTCTCCCCTGAATCCAGCTCAGCAGAGAGAAGCAATTCGCCATCCCTGCGGGCCGCTTTGACTATGGGAGAGATGTCCTTGGCCTGCCACAGGCCCCGTGGCGGGGGTGCCAGGGCCATAGCCCCTCGGAGCAGCCCCTGCGTGGCCGTGTTCTGAGAGAGGCTGTGGAAGAGCAGGTGGTGGCGTGCAGGCAGGCCTGGGGGCAGCAGGCGGCAGGACGCATTCTTGGCCCGCTGCTTGCAGGGCACCTCACGAGCGCGGGGCCACCGTGGCTCTGAGTAGAAATGGAATGTGGCCGTGAGGATCATTTCCGAGTCCTGCATGGAAGTCAGGTTGAAGAAGTACAGGGCCCTCTGATTGATCACTTCTGTGAGGGAAGAATAAAGGCAGCCTGTTAGGTGCTCTCCTGCATAGGCCCTGGGACAGGGTGAAAGAGGAACAGCCATTTAGGGAGCACTCTGGCCAACCAGGCTGTCCTCATGTAATTCTCACATTAAACTGAAGAGGGCGCCCTCTGTTATCCTCAATGAACGGATGAGACATGAAGGTCACAGAGGTTGGGGACTGTCAATATCCTCCAGCAAACAAGGAAACATAGCAGCAGACAAGGTAGGTGCTCAGGCTGCTAGGCCCTAAAATTCCTGTCACCCCCCCACTCCAATGCCTCTCACAAATGAACAAATGATCTCTGACACCTTCATTAATGAGATAAGGTGGGATCAGGGAGTTGGGATGGTTTGGGTTGGGTCCAAGCACTTGCTGACAGTAGCCCCTCCTGTATTTTCTCAGCCCTCTATTTTACAGACATTAAATGCAACCGTTCTCCCAAATGAAGTGAAATAGCCTCATACTCACCCTGCGTTCTGAGTGCCCTCTGAGGGAAGGGGGCACAGTCATCTGGGCGTCTGCTAACTGTTCTGCATCCATGTGAGAGACAAACATTGACCAGCTGCCTTATGTATGTGCTCTGACTGGGACAGGGATCGAATCCGTAACCCAGGCATGTGCCCTGACTGGGAATCGAGCTGGCAACCTTTCTGTGCACAGGATGACACTAAACCAACTGAGCCACTCTGGCCGGGCTGTCCAATGGTTTTAAAGCTTGTTTTACAAAAAATGATTTTACAAAGAAAGAAATCAGGGTTGCAGAAGGTCACCCAACCAAATTTCCAATGTCCAGGTTGCTCCAGAGGACCAAACCATGATAGGAACTGGGGTCCCTCAGACGGCCCATCTGAAGCTGGAGAATGCTCTGACCCCTGGATCTTGGAGCTGTCAACCACCCCTCTTTCCTTCTCTCCTGGTTCTACTAAGTGTATCCCTAGGGTCCCAAGGCCAAGTCTCTTGGTCTGCAGCGCCAGAAAGCTGCCTGGCTTGGCGGCATGAGTTCTCTGAATGACCAAGTCCTCTCTAGGGTTTGAATGGGAGAGAGGAGTGGTTTCTGAGGCCTCCCTGGGAAGTGCCAGTCAAGGCTAAAGTGACACTCTAAAGACCTGCCTTATCTATTTCTCAGGACGAACTCACAGAGCTGTGGCGGCCCCCATACCCTGCAGCAAGGTGTGGCCTGCTCCACACACAAGGAGCAGTGCACAGTCTTAATGCACATTTGAACTTGGCTTCTCCAAACACTGCAGCCTTGGGTGTCATGGTCTAGAGCCCTGCATTTCCCAAACCTCCCTGATCACTGCCTTCCTCCCTGGACAGGATCAGAGAGCTTGGAACATGTGGCCCAGGAATTTGTATTTTAACCAGCATCCCAGGGGCTTCTAACCATCAGAGAAATTTGGGAAGTGCTGGTGGGTGGGGACTGTGAGCCTGCAGCATCTGGCTTGACCTGTGGGTGGGGTGAAAATTCACCAACAACTCTGCTCTCCCATTCCAACGCCAGGCATCTCCATGGTACCCTGCTTCACTTGTCTTCACGTCACGTCCCAACATCCTGATATATATTTCTTTTTTGGAGTTTCTCTTTCCCCCAGAACACAAGCTCCCAGAGAATAAGGGCACTGCCAACTTTGTTCACTGCTGTGTCTTTAGATGCCAGCATGAGCCCCGAGCAACAGTCAGTGTTCAGAAACACGTGTTGAATGATGCAGAAGAGTGGAGTCTGTGCTAACTCTGTCTACTTCAGGTAGCAAATGGGCTCTACCCTACAGAAACAGAACCCAAGTCACCTGGAGATCTGTCCTGTCATCCACTGCCCTTGAAAGAGCCATCCGGGTAACTGGAGTGAGAGCCCCACTGAAGACACAGGCACTGACATAAGCTGGAGGTGGATGCAGTGGGCCAGCTGGTGGTGCTGCAGGGAAGGGAAGACAACTAACATAAACTGAGGTCTTTTTTTCAGGCAGGCCCCAGAGTCAGGATTTAATCCTGCTTGCATCACTTACTAGCTCTGGGGCCTTCAGCATGTCATGGAACCTCTCTGTGCCTCAGTTTCCTCACCAGTAAATCAGACAGAATACTTGTATCCACCACCTAAAGTTAGAAGATCATCTCCGTGGAGCTTGCAGCACTGTGTCCTGTGGCATCACGAGCCACTGCTGCACTCAGGGCACCGTGCCCCTGCACCCTGCCTCGTGCCCAGTGAAAGGCATGGCCACCTACCCGCTCCCCTCCCAACAGGATTCTCAGGGCCTCTTCCCCCTCCAGCATCTAACTGATCCCAGTTCTTCCTGGCTTTGCAGCCTGTTTGTCCACAACTGCCCTGCACTCTGCATCCTCCTACCACTGCTTCATCCAGGGCATGGTCCCAAAGCCACCATGCCCCCAGAGCACTGGCACCCCTGAGGTCACACTCATGCTTCTCAGGAAATCATCCATTATAGATGAAGGGTTAATGTCCTTCATACGTAAAGAACCTCCACGAATCAGTAAGAAAAAGACAAGAGTTCCAATAACAAAAAGCAATTTCTACCAAAAGAAATTGCAAAAAACCCCCAATAAGCACAGAGTCCAGAATGACCAGTAATGGGGGGGAAGTAACTTCAAATGAAGATACAACAAATTTTACCTGCAAGTTGAAAATATGATCCTAAAAACTATATAGTCCACCAAAATATTAACTCTGGTTATATCTAGGAGTGTGATTAAGGATGGCTTCTTTTCTTTACTGTGATTTTCTATGATTTCTAGATTTTCTGCAGTAAGCATCTTTTATAACATTTCTTTCCTCTCCTCCCCTCCTCCTCCCCCTGCCTCTCTCCTGCTCTCTCCTTTCCCTCCCCTTTCTC